GGTGGGAAATTCTACCACAACAGCTGTAACTGCCACTATCCCCGCACCGGATAGTACTAGCCCAGCGGACGTTTCTAGCACGCTGGCCTCGTCTACTGTGCCTGTGGTAGAGTCCACCAGTGCTGCCACACCTGTTTCTAGCAGTAGTGACACGCCGGTAGTTACTGCCACTACACCAGTGGTATCTGGCACTTCTACGCCGACTCCAAGTGTGGAATCTGATAATACCACAGCACCTGCAACGAGAAGTGACACGTCTCCTATAACTTCACTTTTTACAAGTGATGTGACTACCACATCTACTACTAGCACGGTATCACCTTCTACCACTCCCAGTCTCTGGGAATACCTAGGTTGCGCCAACGAGACTACCCCACGTGCTCTGAATGGAGCAAGTATCTCTGGCACCATGACCCACGAGAAGTGTCAAGAGTTCTGCTTGGAGCGTAATTTCCCACTGGCAGGTCTTGAATATGTAAGAGTCCTTGTAATCCATGATAAGGTGGAGGAGAGTCACTGACAAATTATATTCTAGGGAAACGAGTGTTACTGTGGTTCCGCCCTCCAGAACGGCTCAAAACTCAATCAGACCAATTGTGCCATGGCCTGTAGCGGGGACGCCTCCCTGATCTGTGGAGGGCCCTCTCGGCTGAGTGTTTACAATTACACTCTCTTTGTACCGCCTATCATAGTTCCGGCCGTTGGAACGTAAGTATCACTTTCATGTGCTTTACTGCAGCTCCAGGGGTGTTTACTAATTTTCGTTGCTTGCAGGTTCATCTCGCAGGGATGTTATTCGGAGGCTACTACCGGAAGAGCGCTTTCTGGGTATTCATTTACAAATACTACCGGCATGACTGTAGAACTCTGTGTCGGCGTGTGCAAGGATAGATCGTTTAAATATGCGGGTCTGGAATATAGCCAAGAGGTAAACCTAATCCCATCATTGTTCATCTAGTTTTGTCTCTAACTGTAAGAAGTGCTACTGCGGAAACACACTGGCCTCCACCTCAACCAAGATTGATGATAGTCAGTGTAATTCTCTGTGCAAAGGCAACAAGCGTGAATACTGTGGCGCTGGAAGGTATATATCTGGAACAATCCCTGATACCACTTACATATGACTAATTGCGTTTATAGCAAATTGAATCTTTATTTCGACCAACCGTCGAATATCACCGCTAACGGGCTTCCGGCTTCTTCACCTTCAGGGAAGAGGAGGTAGGTAGTGTGGCATTGAAAAGTAATGCATTTATGGAGAATTTATATCTATTCTCTTTATAAGATGCTTAATGTTTTATGTAGTTAACTGCTTGGATGAGGATAAGGATGAGGTGGACATGAGGAATAGATAAGACTTATAGAAAAGAATGTGACACTTAACTAAAATCCTAATTCAAGCCTCGTCATCATCATCTTCTTCGCCCAACACCGCATCTCCAATCCATTCCGAACTCCACTTGACCACCTCGCCTACAATAGGTTCATGTGGTACATACACCAACCTCTTAACACCAAACCAGCCTTTCTTACCGCTGGCCAGGTAGACCCCACAAACACCTCTACAGGTCTCTACGCTTTTATCCTTTTCCAAGACCTCCAAGATTTCCTGGTTCCTCGGCCCCACATAACCCGCGCCCACACCACCACCCAAGTACCCCATCATGAGCCGCTTATGCAGGCGATTAGTGTCCATCTGCTGCCTCCCCATCATTGCATGGGTAGCGGTGATGGGTGACCAGTCGGCATCATACATGGAGCCGTGGTACAGAGTATGCAGGTACTCTTCATGATAATAATAGTCCTCACAGGCATGTGCAAGATGACCAGCGAAGCGGTGGGCGCTGGCGATGTCGGCAAAGAAGAGGGTCGCAATGCCAACCTGGGTAGTGATCGATTGGTGAGACTTCCCATAGGTATACATGGAGAGCGGTAGAGTTCTAATAATGAGCTCGAGGAGCTGCTCTACCACTGATAGATACGATACAAATGTCAGCTAATCCACCACAACAGGTATTGATCCTAGGAGAATATACCCTTCTCAGGCTTAGTCTCAGCGAAATCATAGTCGACCAACACGGCCTTGAGGTCCTTCCTGTCCTCCTCGGTGGGTGTGTATGTACGCTCCCTGCACCCCGGGCAGCAGTAGTGCACCATGGGCGTGGAAGGTTGGCAGAGGCAGTCGTGCTCGTATTGGTTCATTTGGATTGCGTCTGTGAAGGTCGAGTCGAAGAGGAAGTTGTAGTCGGCGCTGAGGTCGTAGGTGTGGGTTGCGGTGGCATTGACCTTTTTGGATTCCGGCAGGACCGGGGCGTTCATTTCTTTGCACATCTTGAGGGCTTGGTGGGGTAGTGGACGGGGAGATGATGGGTATTGCGGATGTTGTGGGGTTGTTCGGGGGTGGTGAGGTTTGTAGGTGTGTTTGGGAGCTGCTAGGAATTGGGTTGCTATTAGCTGGGGAGTTAGCTGTATTAGGACAATTAGTAGAGCCCCCTTTGTAGGGCCTTGGCAGGTTAGTAGTGTTTCTTCTTTTTGGGCGTTACATATGACCTCTGGTATGTAGCTGACATATTTTGATGCAACCATTTTAATTTTGGTCAGGTACAACTCTAGGATTTCTCAGTCGTCTGGGCTACACAAGAAGAAACAAGTATTACAAAAAGTCATATATTAATGATCAAATAGCATTTTTAGATTACAAAGAGAATGGTCACAGCTACTATGTATAGCGCTAGTATGAAGGGCACGCCATGACTTGCCTAAGAGGAAGCCCTGTGGGACCAAACTTATGATTGGCCGATTGAGAACGGTTACATGCAGTGATGATCAATATGAGCGTTGATCCCGGGGTAATGATCGAATTGATAAAAACTTTAATGTAATACGCAGGAGTTCCAGGATGGGCTCAACTCAGGTTATACAACTCCGCTTTGTACTCCTATGATATTGGCGACAGATGATTCGGCGTGTCCAAAACATAATCTGCGATTCAAACATGCAGTGTCACTATCAATAAGCCAGAATCTTAATAGATTACCGGCGGCTTTGCGTTGAAGTTTTACACCGAGTACTTAAGCCCTGAGAACCTTGTTTTCAATATCGTTGACTCTTCTTCTCTTGAGGGGAAACACCCCGTAATAATCCAAACTTTAACATCAGACATTTTTTCTTATAAATTTTAGGCTTACAATACGGGTAATAAATGACCCTGAATGTGTACCAAATGTTTTATTGGTCGCATAGGGCTCATTAATTCTTTATAACATTCAATGCTCTCTATATGAGGTTTTCAAACATTGGTAGGAGCGTATTTATGACACTGTTTTAGGTCATCTCCGAACAAACCCCTGCTTTCTCCCGGCGGCAGGGTTGGGGGGTTGGTACACGTGAATTTTCGCCGTTTTGTCTGAGTATTCGGCTTGAACTCACACAATATTGACACCTGAAAGCTTGATGAATGCCTCATGACATGTGAAATATGTTACCCTGGATCAAAAGCTCTGCAGAATCAACTGGGTACTATAGGAGATCATTACTACAAACAGTTGCGTCTTTTAAACAGTTGTGTTATTACTATATGGACTGGTACCTAGGCTACGAGAACAAGCAAACTGTAGAGGTCAGTGGCGTCGAAATAGAAAGGGGTAAATAAACTGGGGAATGTCTACCCCAGGTTTACCAGGCCGGGTATATAATACAAGTGGAATGCAGTCTCCGGCCGCAAAGTGTATACGTAATGGATGTAGTGGTGAGCGCATATATTTAATATTGCAGCCCGATGCCAGGACCTCCAGCCGACTTTGTTGAAGTTGTGATTTGTGATTTCCGAGTGGTTCTGAATGCTGTCTAATCTATTTACGATTATCCCTCGTTGTGCTGTGCTGGTACTAAATAGTTAGCTCGATTTTACTCTCGAAGCCAGCGAGTCCTGATCTTCCTGTACTCGTGAAAAAATATATTTCATATGTATAATCTAAATATGCCCATATCTTGAGCTGATAATTAATCAAGTCGGAATAATATGTCGCTGTCTCGTAGGTAGATATGCATATGTTGGGTTCTCATAACTTATACAGAAAAACACCGGCGGAGAAAGATGAGTTGAAGAGACGAATAATATCTGAGATATCTTTCTGGATGGATTGAACTATATCAATGACTGTAAATGTGTAAAGTTTTTTATTATGATATATATCGATACCTATTGCTAGTCTTCTTTGTTCAAAGATAATATACGCATGCTGCATTTATATATAAGATCAACAATGCAGCAGCGCTAATTGGGGCTTCATAGATACTTGTAAATAGTAGGAAGATGAGGAATATGAGGACGGCTCAAGAAGCCGGCTGATCTCCTAGGATCCTAGGTACTGGCAATCTTCGATCAAAGGCGGTTATTGTGTGTGTTTGTTGTCGATATGGCCTGGGAACACTCTATACACATGCATACAAGTCGAATAAGACCCAATTAGGCTTAGTATCGTTCTCTAGATAGAATAAACACCGTTGGTACGTCCTGTATGAAGTCAATTATCCCTTGGACTGATGGGACTTGCAGATTCCGGATGTATCCCCGCCTTCCTTATTTAGGAGGGGGCATAAGCAGTGGCTCGGTGACTCTCATGACACTACAGCGAGAATGTGCCCGTAGCAATATCGTCAAGTCTTTGTAGTGCATGAGAAGCTCCTCTCATACAATGCCCACACCGATTGGAAATGTATCTCGGTTAAACAGCTGAGGTGCGAAAGCACATTGTTCTGTTTTGCGCATTAATTGTATCCCTAAGAAGAGGATGTATCAGCATGGCACATGCAAACCATACATGTACCCATGTCCTTCTGTACCACCAAAATATCATGGCGACGTCGTGTACCCTTCAAAAGTCTATATAAACCTACTCAATTCGCCAGTTATTGGATTTACCATCAACAAGCAGAATAAAATTTTCTCACTGCCTCTATACGTATATCACATCTCCCAAGAACACTTCAACTTCAAGATGCGTTTTTCCAAGCTCTCAGTCATAGCTGTGTACGTGTACGCAGCTACATTCGCATCTGCCCAGGCCTCGGCCGTCCAAACAAACCTCGATACGATATCTGGGGATCTTGCAGCTCTCTTAACCGCCATCAATTCTTTTACGGGTACCCTAGCGGGGGCCTTAGCGGTCAGCGCTGCAGCTTCCACTCTGCAAACCGACTATGAGACAGCCCTCACCGAAACCAATGCCGCCACAGACCTTGAGAGTGAGAGTGCGGCTCTCGCAGCAGCAGTTCAAGCGCTGGTTCCGCCCCACGCGGACGGTCTAGCTGCTTTAGTTGAAAAGGTAGATTCTTCATCATTTTAAATAAAACATGAAGAAATGCTAATTGGGATTAGGAACCACTTTTCGAGGCTGGCGGGTTTAAGGCGTTGGTTCTTGCCCAAGTGCAGACGCTTTCAAGTGATAGCTCACAGCTCTGGGCTGCGCTTGATTCGAAGATATCAGCCGATATTAGTAGCTTTGCATCGACCATTAAGGATTCCTACTCTGCTGCCATTGCCGCTTACTCGTAATTTCGAAGGTTGGAAAGGTGGCGCTGAGAATGGATTCGATGCAAATGTTGCCATATCAGTAACACCATTATCTATGAGATGGCGCGTGTGTATGGTGTTGAGGCTTCTGGGGGGGGTTCTTCATAAGTGTAGATACTTGCAGGATGCTTTTCGAATATACATTGTACACTGACAGTGTACGGCCGAGTGATATATTGTGAACCAACTCTTGGCATTTTCAGTATTAGGTTAATTACTATACATAGCTAATGGCACGCAGTACAAACAAGAAAGAACAGAATTATAGTTTAGAAACTCATATACAAGTATGTAGTCGAAGTCTCTAAAATGCGATTTGATGTGTCATTCATTGCCCTGAACGAAGTGAAGGGTTATGGGGGTAAGTGCTTATATCGCTCTCTGATTGGCTACTCCGTGTGGACCAGCAACCCTAACCCAAAATAATATCAATATTCCAAATATCATAATCAGATCAGTAATATGAGACTGGTAGCTGCTCCTTCTTGCGAGCGAGTATCCCGCCAGCGATGCGAGTTTTCGACTGCAAGCTAGGAGGCACTTCCTAGAAACCAATCCAGGGCCTTTCTTCAGGGCATACGACTGCCCCTGGGCCCGTAAGATAGGGTCAGAGTGATCTGGGGTGTCGTGCCGAGTTACTTTAATATATCACTAGCTTCTAGCGTTGTCCTACTGGGCTACGTATATGTGACTTGATTTGTTACAGTGACGGGAGAAACTAGTACAGTTATCAAACTCCGCCAATAGAAAGACAGCAATTTACTTGTTAGTTCTTGAGTCTCTTACTTGAAGCGATGAGACTGTCAGATGCTTAGCGTTGTTCGTCAACCAGGTATTTGTAAAAGAAATATGGCAGCGCATCATACTCGAAGATCTTTGATTCTACAATAATTCTACCGCTATCCATGCTCAGTAGAGGAGCCTATGGCGGCAAAAATTGAGGCTTTTCTGATTCATGCCATCAAACCTTGACAGGTCTAGCTGATGGTTCATGAAAATCGATACCCTTAACACGCAATTAACCGTCCTCGTGGCATGGTTTTAGGAGATTTCATTTGTTATAGATTCGCTTATAGTAAAATTGTTTCTGATCTACAGTGATGCGATAGTCAGCATAACTTCCGGATTCTGATGTGAATATATCAGGATTCGACATCCTGCCACGGGTATCTGAGGTTGAAACCGGACTTCAAATATTAAGACTTATGACACTGCAGCTGTGGTCAATGTCTTTGTTCTCTAGGGTCTCTTAAGTTGTTGCTGCATGACAAACCAACTAAAGTACCAGACGTTGAAATCAGGTCACAGTTTTGTTCATGACATGTACATACCATAAACCGGGATTCGGTCACCTCACATGTAATCACTCGGGAGCAGTTTCGGGCCTCGGTGTCCCAAGAAGTTAGAAGCTATGTGCAATTGGTTTATCCTCATTGAGTATGGCCTTGAAGCGAGAAACAGGTTCTCCGTGATCATTGGTCTCGCCGCAACTCCACAGATCTGGGCTTATCATAGATACTGTACATATGTTATCAGGTCCACGATTCCTAGGTTGGATCCATGGATCTAACTGTGACCGTGCACTTTCTACGTAGGGAGGGGTGTCTTAAATCTGACTATATCAAACCCGCATAGGAACATACCGTATACAGCGCAAGCGAATCCTGATTATTTCTCCTAATAGGCAGAAATATATATAGTGCCCCACAATTACTCATGCACTTTACCACTGTCATGTCTGCAGCGCTAAGCTCGTTTTTCTTCTATGTACCTACATGACAGCTGCAGTACAACCAAGCTTCCACTCCCTTCCCCATCGCCATCCCCAGCAAAATACGAGGGGCAGAGTCTCTTTCACACATCATTACTAGTACTATCAGTACCACAAAGGTGTCATTCAAGATCGGACCAATGACGGCCGAGAACCTAGCAGAGTGGCGGTACACATATCTACCCCCTGCCAGGGCCACGCTAGGTGAGGAAAAACTCTTCCCTTCGTGTACCCCACAATTTCTCCGCATACCTTTCTGTCCTGTCATAACCCCGCTTCTTGATCCATTTTATGCAGGCAAGGATACGAGGGAGAAGTTACCCGCATCGCATCACGATGTTCATCCGGCCGGTGAATGCAATGTATGGCCCTGCATATAGATTAATTCACCACCACCAGTTCACCACCGTGCACCATTCACATTGAGCAAGTATTTTTACGGCTGATCGTCGAGGGGCGGTGGAGAGGATTAGGAGAAAATTGTGACTGGAGAAATCCCCCATAGTTACTCGACAGCATACAGCCCAGATAGCCTTAATTCTTGGTTATTGCTTTTTTACTCTTGAATTAATTTGACTGGTCGATGTGACAACTGCGTCCAGAGTCGAGGCTAGTACATGTAAGACCGGGAAATCGACTTGGTCTTGCAATTGTTCTTACACAGAAATGAAATAGGGCAAGCCAGTTTTACTAGCAGGGAGTGGTGTAACTACATGTAAGCTTGCTCTCGAGAAAGATAGCCACAGATCTCTAAAGTGATAGATACGCCTCTCATGATCGTCGGTGCCGCATGACCTATGGATGGTCATGATAAATACGTATATAAATATCAGAACAGGCTCGGAGGTTAGGGTTTCTTTCTGGACATGGGCTCGATGAATTTGCCACAATTTCCTTGGGGTAAAGTACTTGATATATATATTGCTATAAGCGGTGATCTGGTAATGCTTGACCTTATCCGTTTATCGCCGCCACAATAACTCTATCCAGGTTATCTGTGATGATGGTATTATGGAGGATTAATTTGCCTGCTTGTAAAGTAGGCACGGGTAGTTCAAGGTTCTTCGACCATCCAAAGTGCTAGTAGGACAATTTTCAGGGTTAAAATTTTCGATATGAGATCCTGACGAGGATTTCCTTAGCTTCTTGATTAACTAAATTGTCCCAGATCTTTTCTCATCGGACATTCCCGTACCGGGGATCAAATTGCGTTATTACGCCCTAGTGGAAAGGGAATACCGCCAATTCAAGTCCTTTAAAAGGGGATGCGATGTAAAAGAGCAAAAGGTGTGTTGATGGACTGGGTTTTAACATCTAGACCAAGAACAGCTGTATGATGGTTCCAGAGGGGGTCGAACCCTCGACCTTGGCGTTAACATATTTATATATTAGCACCACGCGCTAACCAACTGAGCCATGGAACCTGCCATCGGACTTAACTTATGTAATTCATAATCCTTTTTCCTTGGGTGGTGCTATTTGCAACCGGGAAATGATCATGTTGCGTGGATTCCAGCTTCACGAGTAGTCTCAAGAATCCAAGTCCTCCGACTCACCGCAACTACCTAGAATGGTAATGTTCTAGAGTCAGTGCGTATGCTGAACACCACAATCATGGAGTAGAGCTAAGAGAGGGACGTTAGAGACAGTATTTTGTCGGATAAACTACATCCTGTCCATGCAACCAATCACTCTGACCCTGACAAAGTTCACCCCCTGCTGAAGAAAGGCCGTTATGTCGACTAAGCTCATGACGCGCACGAACATCCGATTCAGGCACCATAAAGGTTCTTCCTTTTGTCCGGACTCAGCAAGGGGGGGTGATTTTTCGTTGATTGTGGGCTGTGTATGGACTCACTCCCACATTGTTTTGCCTCCTGTTTCTTCCGGTGTGGCTAGTTACATGGTGAAATATTATGAAGCCACCTTCGCTTCCATATATTTTCTCGGTTTGTATCATCATAATGTGGTACCGGTGGGTGCCTAGATAGAGCTAACTCGTACAGTCACTCTACCACTTGCTGTGTGTTACTAGCAAGTCTGTGTATAAGAATTTCAGGGATCAATTGGTGTCGGGGGTTGGGGACCACTAAATTTTAACCATCCCCACAAACAATTTGCGTTAGTTAGTAAAGCACGAAGTAATGACTGGGGCCCCGCAGTGTTCTTACAGCCCTGGCAGCCCTGGACCAAACAGAAATTTCATACCTCTCGTCTCAACTTGAGCGCGCGCAAGGCGATGTGGCTCCACGTGGGCTCAGATAGGTACTCTCGTGAGTATACATATCTATACAGTACGGCCCTGAAGGCGAAGCGCGGGGAAGAGCAATCAATTTGTAGAAGTCTCAAGTATAAATTAGATTTATATTAATCAGGGTTCGGAGATAGAAGTGAGGCGGCAGGGCCTAGGGAGGGGGAGGAAGGAAAAAAAAAAACTGCTACGCCGTGTCGATCCTTGAATTTTTCCTTTGCGCGGTAATATAAATGTTCCGGTTGCCGGAAAGAAGTTGTTATTCTTTGAGTGATATTGAGAATCAATAATGGGAGGCCATAGCTAGTGTTTAGCTAGACGTGCACAATTCCGTGTGCGATGTAGTTGCAGTGCAGTTAAGTATGTAGTTAATCTCGACATCGCTAGAAAAAACCAATTTCCAGCCAATTAAACAAAATTCCGGATCATTCTAACAGTGCCAAATTAGCTTCCGGTGTTGGAATACTAGATTAAAAACCAGGAAATGTTTCTTCTAGATTCTTATCCCGACTTCTGATGACGAGTGTATTTCCGAGAACATAAATTCCTTCCGATTACCGAATTTAAGGGTTGAGGGCAGCTTCGTTGCTGGCTACATAGTTAGTTGCCCCTGGATCATCAGGGGTTTCGATTCGATCGATAGGGACTTACTTGCATGGGTTCGCTGTTAAACTATATACATAAAATGATGTCTCTCGGTAAGGTCTCTAACCGTTTCCAAGAGCTTCAGCTGGCAAATTTAAGTTATGCTCTGGGTTTCTCTAGTTAGTTATCTGTAACCTCTAGCTCTCCTTTCCCTAATTTTGGTTCGTAATTTCTAGATCTGGCACCTTGGAGCCTATTCTTTCGACCTGCAGCTAAATACTTCGGTTCATATATTTGAGATAACAAGAAAGCGAATCCTTAGGCGAGAGAATTTAATCTCCTATCTAGGCGCCTTAGCTCCAGTGAACAAATGAT